CAAGTAAAGGAAGTACTGGACAGTTTGATCCGGTCCTTGGTGGTTCACCGGGACATGGTCCAACACAGGGTTGGACCATGTCCCGGCTCCCATACCAAGCCCACTTTATGGTTATTTACCACAATCATAGGTATAGCACCTTCAAAATTTGTCTCCGTGGTGTAGTGGTAAGACACTCGCCTGGCGTTCCGCGAGCGCTATGTCATGGGTTCGTATCCTGGCCGGGGAGGATTTACTGGGCGCAAATCCTTAACTGTAGCCTCTGTTTAGTGCAACAGTAAAATGTGTACTTGGATGAAAAAACGATTCTTCGCGGCGGGGATCGTATTCCAGGGACCTGCCCGAAACGCTACGCGTACTAGTGGCTGTACAAGAATGTAACAACTCTTGTATATATCTGAAAAAAAAAATTGTTGGTGGGTTCAACCATTGTCGTTTGGTATTTAAATGTCCTGTTTTTATAGGATTGGGCTTGTTTTTTGTTTGGCTGGTACTCTAACGTTCACGTTCTTTGTTAGGTTTATAGTGTATTAAGAAGGTACCCAACGGTGCCAGAGATATTCTCTCTCTCCCACCACCCCTCTTCTTTATCCATCTTTCCCTTCCATCTCCCCACTCTCCCCGTCAGCCATCTCTCTCCCCTTCCCCCCTCTAACCATAAACAAATAATTTTCTTTTATATATAAAGTAAAACTTGACTGCGCGGGTAAACGGCGGGAGATCCTTCAACATCTACGGACAACACATCCACTATTTCATTTCCGAATTCATGAAAATCGCACAGGGTAGGGAATGGGGGGAGGGGGATGTTGGTTACATACTGTATTTCTTAAACCGTTTAACATAGGCGCGGCTGGTAGGCCTATATTCGTCCCGTATCCAAGACCATTCCGCCTGTAAATTTGGGCGAGACTTGCCCCAAGCGTTGGGTCTGTAACTTTGGACGGACACACACACACACACACACACACACACACACACACACACACACACACACACACACACACACACTCACTCACTCACTCACTCACTCACTCACTCACTCACTCTCATTCATTCATTCTCTTATAGATTGTATATGTGTGTACTCCCAATTTGTCTTTGTAGAGTTGAGCATGTGGCGCGCTAAGTGCATGTACTCAACTAGAGACTTGCAGGGTCCAGCATCAGCTCTTGAGCCCCGCCTCACCACCACCATTGATTCAATGCAGTGACTCTTTTTCACTTACTTTCTTTTTATATTTAAAGTTGTGTATCGAATTGGTGTGCACAACTTCATCTTGTCCGTTGCCCTGATTTACGACTCTGACTGTAAGAGTTCTTTCTGACAACCCTGTGACTCATCTGTGTTTCCAGTTTCGTCCTCTCCTTCTACTCTTCCTTAATTTGAACACTACCTCTATATCTACCAGTAATTTGTCAATCCCCCATTAGTATCTTGTACGTAGTCATCATGTCTGCCCTATTCCTTCTTTCCTTCAGCGTAGTGAGGTAGAGTTCTCTCGGTCTTTATTCGTTGTTCACTCCCACTCAGCTCAGGAAGGAGTGTAAGTACAGGATGAGAGCTACGCTCGTGGTGTCCCGTCATCCCAGCTCTCTTTTTCGTGTGATGCCTTGAGGGGGGGAGAGAGAGAGAGAGAGAGAGAGAGAGAGAGAGAGAGAGGAGATGAGAGAGAGAGAAGAGAGGAGAGAGAGAGAGAGAGAGAGAGAGAGAGAGAGAGAGAGAGAGAGAGAGAGAGAGAGAGAGGGAGGGGGGGGGGGCAGACAGCCTGATAGGGAAGAGGGTGACGCCCATACGCCTGTCGGCCAGTGTTAAGAGAGGCGTCAGGGAGCCATGGTTGGCCTTTGTGAGGCAGGGGACGCCGCCTTACTCCACACTCCGCCCCACGCCGTATATGGCACACCCGGCAACGTTGTGCTCCTGGACACCATGCTGGCCAAGCTCCTTACTCACCATGGCAACTCGGGAAGTAGCCCTACTTACCATGGCAACTCGGGAAGTACCCCCTGGTCACCATG